GAAAAAATATTTGAGAAACGCTAGTTTATTATACCCGCAGTTCATCGTGATATATGTTGCATGATTCGTCGCTTTATTATATGCTAACAAGGTTTCAACAGACTACTTAGTGTTTATCACAAGTAAAACTCTATTTTAAGCCTTTCTAAATTGAATTAAATCTTAAACATTTTAGTATTTTTCCCCAGTGCTTTATAATCATGTATCGTACTTAGGAATGTTAAAGCTCGCTGCACAATTTTTTATGAATAAATAACTGCGCATTTTTAATGAAGCATTTTTTTTTTTTTTTTTTTAGTAAATACCCACGATAATGCATCTTGACATCCTGAATGTTCTGACATAATCCTATTAAATAACTAAAAGTAATTTAATTAAATCGTTACCAAGAGCTAAAAATAATTTAACTGTGCGCCATTTCAAAGAAGTTTTTTTTTTTTTTTTTTTTTTCGTTCTTCCGGATTAAACGTTTGTTATTACTGTTTTTTCTACTTTACATAGAACTCTAATACCGTTATTTGAATATTTTTAAACAGTGTATGCTTCAAATTAGATAATTCCATAAATTACCATGAAAGGTAATGAGTGACTGCTTTAATTTTACAATAGCACTTCCGTATTTAGATTGTTCTAAGAACTTTTTTTAATTGCGGCTTCTTTTACTTTTAGCGCTTTATATGAGGTGGAACTGTTTTGTAACATTCAAATTTATTTTATTAGATGTAACGGTATGGTAACATAAAAAACAATCTGCTCAAAAAAAAAAAAAAAAAAAAAAAAAAAAAAAAAAAACTTTCAAAAATTTAGGATTATCGAGGTATTACGTGATCTAACTTCGAATTTAGCCTCAGTTCATTCTGGTTAACAGACGAACTGATAGGTGCGGAATTACATTTTATCGTTAAGAATTTTAAATGAAATGCATGTTTAAAAATGAGATATAAAATATGTGTCTACAAGTTTCCTTTTAAATGTACTCTAATAATGAAGAAAATTTATCGAGCCATTGTTATTTATTTTTTGAAAACGTAAACGTAAAATTTGTTTTCCTTTGCGAATGTTTTAATCATTCGCATTTATAATAAAATTAAAATTTAAAGGTATCTGAGTAGACTAAATTTACATTAACTGTTATAGATATTTATCCTAGATAAAACTAATAATAAATAAAATTTACCATTGTTATTTACGACAACGTGCTTTAAAAAAAAAAAAAAAAATCCTGAATTCTTCCACTTATGTTTAATAATTTTTAAAACCTTACTTTATAGAAAATTGTAAGATGAATTTCTTAAAATAGCTAATAACGTTATTATGTTTGAAAATGATTTTCCTAGCCATTAAATATATAAGATTTTTCCAACGAAGATTTAATGAATATATAAAGGAATAATCCCTCGGAAAGGTACGACTTTTACTTTAGGAACTTTCTCTTTACCGATCCATAGCTATCCGTCTTAAAAAAAGTAATATAATTCATGTAATTTTTTTATCGTAATTTATTATTAATATATATATACGTAGCGGGATTTAACTATAAATATTTACATTTCTTCCAATTTTTTCTAAGTTTTCTAATTTACGGAATTTTGTTTTACGTAAAATTGACTTAAAATTGGCTGAAGTCGGTAAAATAAAATAAAAGCTATAATCTTTTGCAAATTCTGGAGTAATCAGTTTTCCTTGTCTCTAAATTCAATTAATTTGCATGTCAAAAAACTTTTGTTGAACTTTTGCATTAATATAAGCAAGTAAAACTTAAAATATGCGTAAGTAATACTTCATTAATATGCGCAAGTGTAATACTTAAAAGGTTAACGCGTAACTATTTTTTTAGATTCATTCGAACGTGTTTGATTTCAAACATGTGTCTAGAAATTCATCTGGGAAGAAAGTCATTACTTCATCTTTCTCTTAGCTGATAATATTAATTTTTCTATGAAAATCGGTGTCTTTGATCTGATTCTTATTTTATGATTAATTTTTAAAAAAATGTTTGCCTTCATTGTCGTTTAATTTTAGCACGAATTATATTATAATGTAATTCTGCAAGCAGGTTTAGGTATTAAGATAGAGGTCAATGATTAAAAACTTATAAATGTGTATTATGATGTAGAGCCATTAGGTTATTTTGAAGCAGGAGATGTGAAAAATAAGTAACGCCCTCGCCGGGACTCGAACCTAGAACTCTAGAAATGAGCGCCGAGTGTGCTAACTTTACTCCTCGAAAGCATGCAGAAAGGAGGGAGAAAATACCGTATATACTCCCCATTTTAAAGGTCGACTGGGAATTAAGGGACCCAGTGGCCAAATTCTGAGGGTGAAAATTCATCTTCCACCGCCTTTTAGTTCGAGCTCCCCTGTAGAATCATTAGGTTATTTTGATGCTGGAGACGTGAAAAATAAGCAACGCCGTCGCTCGGAATCGAACCTGGACCTTCCGAATGCGTGCCGAGTGTGCTACCTTTATAGCACGAAAGGATTCGGAAAGAAGGGAGAAAATACCTTATAATGGGAAGAGAAAATTATAAGATATTTTCAGAGTTAAACGCAATTTAATGTTCTAGACAAATGATTCAATGATACGCATTTTAACGAATGTATTCACTCACTCGTAATAAGCCTCATGGCTCATGTAAATGAAACCTCATGAAATAAATGAAGCAAAATTAATAACTATATATCAATAAAATACTATAAAAATTTATTTGCATTAACATAACATCTTTGTTATTATTTTTATTTCTAAAAAACTGTATCATATCTTTCACTTTACTCGGTTCTTCTTAAATAAAAAAATAAACAAACATGCATTTTTTTAGTGGCCTTTGTAATTCAGAAACTAATGTTTTCTAACTTAATTACAATTATTATATTTCGTTTAAGAATACATTATAAAGTGCACGGTGATTTGGTAGTAAAAGTTTTCTATTTTAGTTAAAGGATTGTCTTTTCGGTTGCATTAACATGACATCCTTGTTATTATTTTCATTTTGTTTATTTTGTAATTTAAAAAAAACTGTATCATATCTTTCATTTTACACGGTTCTTCTTAAATTAAAAAAAATTAGCAAACATGCATTTTTTAGCTTGCTTTGTAATTCAGAAACTAATGTTTTCTAACTTAATTACAATTATTATATTTCGTTTAAGAATACATTATAAAGAGCATGGTAATTTGGAAGTAAAAGTTTTTTATTTTAATTAAAGTGTTGTCTTTCCGGTTGCTAAATTCAAATGTAAGGAAAAACTAAGAGAGTTTCAGTTAAATAACATCAGTTTTCAGTGGCATATTTGAATTGTTTTTTCTGGATAATAATGGTTAATTAAACCAGTAATGGCATAAAAATAGTACATAATACTGAAAACGGTTTGAGTGTTTGCGATAACATTCGAATATGTATTTAAGCCAGTTGCGTGCAACGTCGGCGTCTTCCCCTCGCTATAATAACATTAAGTAGAGATTTTTTATCGTACGTAAAGTATTAAACTTCTGTTACGTTTTGCTTATACTGAAAAATATTACGATTTTGGAGAGAAATAAAAATTGTTAAATACGGTGACATAGAAATAATATCCTACATCTAAGTACACAATAATAATTACATCTAAATCTGATATCATTATTATCTAATAAATAACCATCTAAACCAAAATTTCATTTAAAGTTTCTATACTTATAAGTATTGTGCGGTGTAATAGCAAGAACTTAATGATTTGAATTAATTAATTTCGCATAAACGTAAACAATAGCAGCAAGATGAGTATCATCCTTAAGAAGGACGCCATTATGGAGAACATTCTAAGATAAACTAGATTCCGTTTGATTTATGCTCAAGGAAAGCTACGAACAAAAATTATTATGAAGGTTCCTAAACTTTCAGAAGTTGAATCCTGGAGAATGGAGGCAGCAGTTCGTGTTTTATATGTTCGGAGAGTGGTCAGCTCCAGCTTATGTCTAGAGGCACTGCTTTAAAAATTCTTTTTTTCAGACCAAATATCAATTAACATAAAGATATTTCCTATTAATGCTTACTGATGTCCATCTTCCTGTAGTTTTTCGGGAATTTAAAATACATATGTAATTTTATATGAACTTTAATTCCTTCAAATCAATTTAAATAATTACTACTGATTCCTATGTATTCAATTTACATCTTATAAGAATAGAGAACAAAATGTTCCCTATTAGTGTAATTACAAGTGATTTTATCTTTGAAAATATAAGATCGCATTTAAATAATGGATTTAGAGTTATTTTTTTTTCTTTCAAACATGTTGAATTACAAAAAAAAAAAAAAAAAAAAAAAAAAAAAAAAAAAAAATATAAGTGTTGGCAGATATCCTATATTTTCAATCTACCCCTGAATTTTTCTTTGCCAATAAATATGATAAATTCATTTCGTATCCTTCGATTTTATCAATGCATATATAAAAAACAGTGTTTGCACAATAATGTTTTACCAGCCCTCTCTTTTTTTAATCCATTCACTATTAAAATAGTAAGTTTTTCTTAAAATATTATATTGTGAACCAAGAAGTTTGCACTGTAAGGAAGGCGGGTAACAATTACGTGGTGACCAAACTCTTATAAGATATATCTATGATAAAAATACTAAGTTCGTTAACCAAATTAAATATTATTTAAAATTTTTAGATTTGTCAGCTTTCATTCTCCGTTTAAATTAACCCTTCTGAAAACTTAATTTTTAGGTTCGCATAATTTAACAATTTATTTTCTCACAAAGGACTTATATCTGCAGTTGGCTGTCCTTAACTCATTCCCTAAACGAATTTTGCTCAGCTTTCTATTACGTGACAAAAATTTGCCATATTATTAAAATTTGTAAAAGGCAACGGTATCGCATATATTGCATCAAGTAACTGCTTAATTAGCACAAATAAAAAGCGATAGCTTAGTTTACTAAAAGCCTTCTGTTCAAGAAATTAATGGAAATATATATATATATATATATATATATACATAAATTATTTCTTACCTGTCTGTACACATAGTAATCCTAGAATAAGTCCACACACAATAGAAAATTGAAATTCTTTAGACAACACGCGCGGTAAGAGTGGTTGGTCCATGCTTTGGCTTGGCATCTACATTCACTCCAATATATCACAATACATACACCACATATTAAAATTCAAAACTTAATAATTCAGTGAACTAAAAGAAATGAGCAGCTTCTGTTTCAAGAGCCCATTTTCTTGTTAATGAAACAAATTTCAACTTGTATACGATTCAGAAATTTAAATGGACATCCTGGTTCAAGGACAGTATCCAGAGACAACCGGCTGTTCAGAATTTCAGTTAAAGCTTTTGAGTGCTTTAATTCCCAGGTGCTTGCTCTCTTGTTGGAGGCAGGCCGACTTCTGACACCGTGCTGATACAGGTTGAGTGACTTTTCAGTCACGTGGTACACGTGAAACGGGGAAAAAGTCATCCAGAAGTTGTACCGAAGTAAGAAAAGTTGACCAACTGGTTGGATGTACTTCAGAACGGGTTCCAGGTAGGCCTCTAATCTCGTAGGATGATGATGTAACCAATCGGTATCGCTTTCCAAAGCCGCTCTTAAGATTTCGTTTCGGTTCCATTTTGATTGTTTCGAGTTGTAAGTGCAGTTTTGGATTTGCGCTTTTACACGTTTCACTGAATTTCCTTCAGTGTTCTGGCATAAGTGTTTGAATACATGCATAAGTATCCTTGGAAAAGGAGTTTAGTTAGTATGAAGAAAGATAGTTTTGGTTTAGTTCTGTAAGAAGTTTCATAGTTGAAAGTCAGAATAGAGAAAATATAGAGCCCATAAATATTCACTTTTTTTTTTCCTTTTTTTAACAAATATTTTTTGCAGGAAAAATATTTGTTAGATGTATTAGTTTAAACAACCGTTAAATACCAATTCTAGTATAAGCTTATAAATATTTACTGACAATAAATACTGTGATTATAATATATTAAATATTGTTTTAATGATATTTTAAATAACTGTTATTTGCAAGAAAATTCGTGCAGAATATCAACGAATGAAGAAACTTTCAAATTTTTTATGTAATAAAATATTTGAAATTCCCTCAATGCTGCATTTTGCTTTAAGATTTTCGCAAGTGGACTATGAAATTAAATACATTAAATGTCTAGTTAAAATATTTACCCTTTCCTCAATAAAAAATTAATTTAATGAGAACTGCAATATATTCATAACTACTCGAGGGTAAAAAATTACGAAACTTTAAATTTTTCATCTAAAAAATAACCTCGCAGGAATTTTAGATGTTTTAAAGAAATTCATAATATTTGAATGCATTCAACCAGACGTATTTTCAAATACTTTTCTGAGAAATTAAATAAAAGAGAGATTTTTATTAAAATTTCATGTCGTTAGAATTCTGAGAAAAGGTTGTTTTTATACAGAAATATATTTTCCAAAAATAATGACACAAAGTGAGATTGTTAACATGTGCTTGTAATTCCTTCATTCATTTTAAGCAATTTGCGGAAAAATTTAAAGATATATTCGGCTTTAGTGTTGAAATTTAGAATGTTTTAAATGCTTCTGTAAGTTTTAGGTAAAATTTATTATAGGTATTTATTTTAGGGAAAATAATATTATAAACAGGCTTAATAGATATGTATATATGCACGATATTTCACTGAATAGGTTAAGTTTGATTATTTAAATAAAATAAATCATTCAAAGGCTTTTTTTCCCCCGGGGCGCGTAGCTATCGTTTCTCGTTTTCTTTTCTTGAAAGTGCTGTTATTATAACTTAGTTAAATCGTAACAAAATAAACTGCACTAACTACATATTTTTTTTTTATTATTTTCCTTTTCATGCATAATTTGTTATGATACCGAATTTTAATCTGATTGATTAAGAGGTATTTTAAACAGTTTTTAATAACAGCAGTAAAAGTAGAGCTAATGGTAAATGCAATTAAAAGAAAAGAAAAAGAAAGAAAAGGAAAAATCTGAAAGGGTTCACATTTTAACGGTCGCCCAAAAGGGTTTGCTAAGGTTTCTGGCTGAGCTCCCAATTTACCAGTCTGCTGTTAAAGTCACTCCTGTTAATCCATTTCTTTTTTGTCATTTTAGCTTTATTATATAATAATTTTCTTCGCATTACTCCTTTTTATTCTGTTTTCTTCAGTCTTTCTCAGTTCATCATGTTAATGTTCAGTTTCCTTCCTATGACAGCTTCACAAAACTTCTTTTTGACTTTTATTACTAACGTTTTGTGCGTTGACCTTACTTATGAAATATCAAGTTCTTGGTGCTTACGTCACATAAAATTCGATTCAACAGCAGCCCACCAGCGGCCGAGCGGTAAAGACGCTGAACACTGGTAGTTCGGTCTGAGGTTCGAATCCCGCGAACGGGCTGGCTGCATGGGCGTTTTCGTGGTTTTCCCATGTGTAACGTGTATACGAGCCAGTTTCCCTTAGAAAGTCCTCCACGAAAGGCATCCCTCCCTTTAGGCAGATAGCCCTCGTGTGCTTTGCCATAATTAAATACACCAACACCAACGATTCAACAGCAAAATCACAAAATATTTAAAAACAGCATATCTTTAGAATTTTCGATAGACTGTCCCTTGCGCTGGAGATAAAAATGTTTTATTCTGTTTTATTGCCACTGCTCTCTTTGAAGCCTTTGAGTTTGTTAAGCGAAAATTCGCTAAAGTTTTACAATATATGAAATAAAGCAAATTCGAAATTCAAAATTCGGGCATCCAGGTGCACATGTTCAAGTATAGGACTTTGTTATTCAAAATCTGACGGCCTAGTTACCGTCGTTTCTTTCACAATGCAACGAACATATAAATATGCCTGCAGATTCTTAATTATTTAATTTCTTTAAAAAATGCACGGCAATAATAATATTTGGTGGCAACCATCTGAAAAGTGATTCGCCGTTTATAGTGGATGATGCAAAATTCCGTTTCGAGACTCATAGGCCTTTCTCGCTAATGCACTGTACGGCTAAAAATTGATGAATTTTTATTTTACTACTTAAATTATAATAAAAGCAATTAACTTTTTGTTACAGGCACTTCAATTACTGAACTTATTTTTGCTCTGAATTCAATCAACAAATCTGCAACTATTTATTAAATATTATTATTAAATATTTCTGCAAATATTGCAGCCGTTGCGTCTGTATGACCGTCATTTCATTTCTTGCAAGATTGCAAGGAAATAAAAAGTAAATGAAGATTCTACCTTTAAATTGTTAAAATACCTAAACTCCATAACTTAATCTGGACATTTCCCCATTCCATCCTTTGCGTAGCTCTGGTGACGCAGATAAATTGCAAACTAAAATTCAAACATCCAATATAAAAACATTTAATAGTCAATGAGGAAACTTCGAAAAGTTTTTTTCGCTTGAACTATGTTCTTCATAGACTAGAAGAGAAACACGCTAATGTGACAATCAAAATCGTAAAAAACAACCTTATATTTAGCGTAGGTATAATGAGACACTCAATCGATTTCGAGGGCAGCTAAAGGTCCCTCCTCATCAGGAGAAAGAAATACATAGAAAGAAGATATTGGAATCACAGAAACACGTGGTGCTTATCAGCACTGCACGTGGTTATAACTAGATTTTTAATCAGAGTTGCACTGGCCGCCTACTTTTACTGAGCCAGGCTGTCGATCAAGCATATAAAGAAATATTAGCGAAGTTAAAATAGGGAGCGAGGGGCAAATGCACATTACGCTTCAAAATCTGAACTTCAAAATAATGGAAAGCAACCACTGAACGGATTTTATACCCTCTGGTAGTACCAAGTGCGAGGAGGAGGTAACGCCATCTATCGGCAAAAATAATTGAATTAGATAGTAGAATTTTAAAGGCATTAGGAGGACTGGATTGGACTTCAAATCATTAACTAAACTTTCTAAATCTTTGTGAATGTGAAAAGCCTCAAGAAAATCCAATTCGCCTATGGAAGAAGCCTTTTGGATGATTTTTGCAGACCCAAAATCAAAATTATGGTTAAAAGTCCAACTATGATACGCTATTGAAGACTTGTTAATTTCCCCTTTTTGACATAAGATTCATGTTCCTGATACGAAACTTCAACGCTCTTTTTGTTTGGCCAATATATCTTAAACCACACTGACATGATATACTATAAATTCCCCAAGAATTCAAGACAGAAACGCAATCTTTTAGAATCGAAGGGTGAATTTTATTAATAGGGGAGAAACCGACTTGAAAATTGAATTTCTGGAGAATCCGTGCAATTTTATAGCTAACAGAAGGATAAAATGGAAGCACGACAAGGTCATATGTTGAAAAGAAATAATATCAATGTTATGGCTTAGGATTATATTATCAATGTTATAGCTCAAAGTTATGGCTTAGGATTTTCTGACTGGCTATTGAAAATTTTGGTATTGCTTGTTTGAATTTCAATTTGTAAATTATCTCCATCACCAGCAATATATGAGAGAGGGAAATATCCAAATTAAATTAGACAGTTAAGCTTTTTCTCAGAGAGAGTTAAATTTGAGATTTAGGGTATTCATTTTCTCCCTCGTTTCTGCATGCTTTTGCGGTGTTGTTGGAATCATACTCGTATTCGAGAGGTCTAGGTTCGAGTCCCTGTGAGCGCAATGCACATTTTTAATTCTCGTGCTTCAAAATAACCTTAACGGCTCTCCAAAAAAGACTGCTGCAAATTAAAGTTCGAATTTTATTTACATGTTTTTTATCTTATATATTTCCCTCCTTCAAGTTAGCGACAGAAAAGCGTTATTAAGGAAAAATTTAAAGTATCAGAAAATGAATAAAATATACTTTGTAAAATATGAATCATAAAATTTTGTATATATATATGTATTGTATATAAGAATAAATAGTAAAGTTAAATTAAATTTTAATAATTATCTTGCGACATTGCTGCAAGTATATATATATATATATATAATGTTTTTTACTTTCTACATTATATATATAAATACTGTGATTATAATATATCACAAAATATTTAAAAACACAAATATTTAAATATATAAAATATACATATAATATAGAAAATAAAAAAACAGTTCAAAGCATGGTCCATTTTGTTCTCTGATAGCAGAAACGAGAGTAGTGATAATTATTTTGTCACTTTAAATTATTTTGACTTAAGTTTTATGTTAAGATGTTTTAGATATATTTATTGTTATATTGTTAAGATGTTTAGATATATGTATTTAATTGTTAATATTGTAAGATGTTTTAGATATATTTATTTAGGTATATATATATATATATATATATGTGCGTGCGTTGTGTATGTATATATGTGTTTTCTAATAATAATAATAATAATAATAATAATAATAATTTATAGTAATTT